ATTGTAAACACTGATTCAGCGTGCACCTTGTTAACGATGATTTGTTTCGTGTTTTCTATGAATGGAGATTTTTAATTGACTGGATGCAAAATTCTGGACTTTTTTAGCGATAAATGTGAGCCTTGAATTAAGGAAATACTAAATAAGTGGAAGGACAAAACTTGTAAACATGCAATGAGGACTGTCTTGTTTGGAGATGCAGCAATCGGTAGAGTAAGAAAAATAAAACTTAAGAGATACATCTTGGTTTCTGAAAACATAGGATGCAGTTAATCTAACATACTCAGGGATTTAAAGGCTAAAGTAGGCCTACCCGGAGATTTCAATTTGCAAAATACTGGATACTTTACCAACATTACACATGGAATGCAGTTAAGAAATGTCTACTAAAACAAGAATGCAAATGCGACACTAGGATAATAGCTATTATTAAATATTGACGATAAGTTTACCTGCTTCATCACCAATAACAAATGTATTTACAACTTTACTAAAAAGACACAATATAGGCCTATAAAGTTCTACAGTGAGGGACACGTATGAGCTCCGAGTCTAAGCCCAGATTTTCAACGACTAAGGTAGGGTTATTATTTTTAATCATCATTATTTTCTTTTTACATATTGGGGGCTGCTGCCCCCAAAACCCCGCTTAGTAATGTGAAAACACATTAAGAATTTTTTTCTAGCTTCGAAAGTTTCTTGCACAACAAAATGGCGTTGCCCATCATAGTTGATACGTTGCTAAGTTTTTACGCCACGCCAACTCACGCGCGGATCTAGAATCAAAATGGCGACCGTACCGGTAAAGTGCATTGTATCCCAAGAACTAGAATGATCAGGGTGGGATCAGGTGCCCTGAAGATGTTAGCATCCCCTGCCGACCTGACAACCAGTCACATCTGCTGTGTGCAAGTTAATTTTAAATATTTGGCCTAACAATTAGTTTAAAAATCGTCGACCACCATTCGACTTAATGGTAGATTTTATTATTGTAGAGAAGGTCATTGTATTGATCATAGGACTTGCCAAATGATGACTTCAAACGAGACTTTTCATTTTCTTGTTTCATAATCTTGATTGCCAATAGCTTGCTTCGTTTTAGAAATTGTTCGAACGTGGAACATGCTCTTGCGTATTGAATCAACTGGGAAATATAACCCTAGTATGCAGGTGATAAGGATATACAGCTCCGCGCATTTCTAAAGCTCCCATGCTTTTTCCGACAAATTAAAGTCACACTGTTACAATGTGAATACGATTTTGTGTACCGAGAAAAGTAAATTCAATTGAAAAGACAATATTCATCTTATTTCAGTTTTACTGTTACAGTACTAATAAATAATCATTATTCGCAAGTAATATTCGGTACGACCTGGATTCACACTTGGCTGGAAAAATAACAATTCCGAAATTTTTTTCTGTTTTTTTTACCCATTGCAGCCTTAATTCCTGAAGATCTCTTATTGCTTCTGTTGTCTATTAAATTTTTATTGCCTATACTTAGTTCCTGTATTTGTATATTCTGTACATTCAAATGACTCCACAGCACAAGATGACAACACCGAATTTCTCATCTCTTTGATTTCTTTCCTTATTGCATTTTATAAAGCAACTAGTATCTAGAATCTAGCTTTAAAAGAGATCTGTCCTATTGTAAAATTACAAAGTTTTAAACCGTAAATGTGAAATTGTTATTCTTGCATCAGTAACAATTTACCAAAATTAAAGATAAGCTTTACCAAATTATCATAACTTTTAGCACTGTTTTCAATTGAAGTTGTTTCCATTTTCCGATAAAACCAAGAGGATTGTGATTTATATAAAGTAAGTACTTATATTAACTTTAAAGTAGTAAATTTTAACATTTCAGCAAGCACGGCTAGTTCATCTTTCAAATATCTATGGTAAAATTGTCCTAGTTGTTATACCGTATCATTTATTGATATAATCCCCTTTAAAACTCTGTCTTTGACAACTTTAAGGTTCTTGTACATTTGACATAAGATAACAAATATATCTGAGGTTCATTTTATCGTACTTTGAAATGATAATATCAAATATTATTAATATTAGGTTAATGTGACCTTAATTTGTGCAAAAAAAATGTTAGCTTAAAAGGAACCTGGAGCTGTGTTAAGGTTACCTGAGTAAAGAAAGTTGAGGAAGGAAAATTTGAAGTCATCACGTTTATTTTCTAGTTTTCTTGTTAGGCATGCAATCTACTGATAAGTTATGTTTTCAAAATAGGACTAAATAGTCCATGCATCATAATATATTAGATGATCATGTGTGTATTTTTCTTTCAAAATAACAAACGACGAGGAAATTTTTTTGGAAACATTTTAAATTCAGCTTTTGTTCATTTTCTCCGAATTTAATATCAGATAAATTGATGATACATACGGAAAATGAAACCTGATTAAAATATAAAAGAAGAAAAAGTAGAGAAACGAACAAGGAACAATTTTCACAATCATTGTTAATACACTCAGATTAAGTTGTTCTTTTGAATCACTTACTCAACAATACTTCCTCAATCATTGTTAAGAAGTAAACCACTATTTGAGTGTTTCCATTATCACACAGTGAGCTATAACTTTCTTTAACTTCCTTTAACGTATTAAGAATGCATATATTATTTAAAAATTTTATTTTATGTAAGTTTAGTTCTGTGATGTGGTTTTATTTATATTTATTGGTTTTGTCCCAGTTACTTCTTTTCTTTTTAGCTCACCTGAGCAGAAGGCTCAAGTGAGCTTTTTTGATCACATTTTGTCCGTCGTCCCTCCGTCCGTCTGTAAACTTCTTAAAATCATAACCCCCAGGGAAATATATAGAACAAATCTTTAAAAATCTTCTTCCCAAGAACCACTGGGCCAGGAAAGCTGAAACTTATGTGGAAGCATCCTTTGCTAGTGTAGATATTAAATTGTTAAAAACATGACCCCCAGAGGTAGGGCGGGGCCACAATAGGGAATCCAAATTTTACATTGAAATATATATATATAACAAATCTTTAAAAATCTTCTTCTAAAGAACAACTGGGCCAGGAAAGCTGAAGTTTATATGGAAGCATCCTGGGGTAGGGTAGATATTAAATTGTTAAAATCATTACCCCTGGGGGTAGGGCGGGGCCACAATAGTGAATTCCAAGTTTTACATAGAAAAATATAGAACAAATCTTTAAAAATCTTCTTCTCAAGAACCACTGGGCCAGAAAAGCTGAAAGTTATGTGTACGCACCCTTGGGTAGTGTAGATTCTAAAGTGTTATATATAAATATAAAGCACTAAAAATGACCAACGACACGAACAATAAAAATTGTCAAATTTTCGGGACGCCCTGTCCCTTCCTCAGGACAAAGAAAAAAGTTAAAAAGTCATAAGAACAAAGGAAAAATAGAAACAAAAACAACTAGCACTACTACTAAGCTACTAAACACTAGATATTTACATACTTAATAAATTACATGTTGAGTTCGAAATTTTTAAGAACAATAATAAAGAAAGAAATCCGGAACGCTATGAAATGCGTCCGGTCTATCGGGTATACTCGGGTGAAGTGCGATTTACATAATTGAACGAATTAATTATGCTAATTAATTACGACAATCAGTAAATCGTACATTGTTTCATTCTCTCAAAATGGCGTAACTTTACTTAATAAAGAATAATCAAAAAAAAATAAGATGGCAGGGATACTTAAACATATAAATATTTCAAAATTTATAATGGATCATTATGTTTAAATATCCCTGCCATATATATATATATATATATATATATATATATATATATATATATATAGAAAGCACAGAGATATTCACTTTTACAAGGATACTCACTTCCGCCCCAGCCCGGGGTTGAACTCTCGACCTACGGAATCTGTCTCCTAGCAGTGCAGGAACAGCGCGTTAGACCGCTCGGCTATCTAGGCAAGTTAATAAAACTTGCTTTCGATGCCGATGGAATTCTCACAACGCTGCCCTACACTACACAGTCATTGAGAATGGAAGTGAGATACAGTTATTTGGACATTAGTTTTTAGAGGATCGTTACCAATACATGTTGTGATGATATTAATTTTATTTATAAAGCACAAATTACAACAACTCTTAAACTAATATAACTGCCCTAAGTGAAGAAATATTAATATAGAAAGCACAGAGATATTCACTTTTACAAGGATACTCACTTCCGCCCCAGCCCGGGGTTGAACTCTCGACCTACGGAATCTGTCTCCTAGCAGTGCAGGAACAGCGCGTTAGACCGCTCGGCTATCTAGGCAAGTTAATAAAACTTGCTTTCGATGCCGATGGAATTCTCACAACGCTGCCCTACACTACACAGTCATTGAGAATGGAAGTGAGATACAGTTATTTGGACATTAGTTTTTAGAGGATCGTTACCAATACATGTTGTGATGATATTAATTTTATTTATAAAGCACAAATTACAACAACTCTTAAACTAATATAACTGCCCTAAGTGAAGAAATATTAATATAGAAAGCACAGAGATATTCACTTTTACAAGGATACTCACTTCCGCCCCAGCCCGGGGTTGAACTCTCGACCTACGGAATCTGTCTCCTAGCAGTGCAGGAACAGCGCGTTAGACCGCTCGGCTATCTAGGCAAGTTAATAAAACTTGCTTTCGATGCCGATGGAATTCTCACAACGCTGCCCTACACTACACAGTCATTGAGAATGGAAGTGAGATACAGTTATTTGGACATTAGTTTTTAGAGGATCGTTACCAATACATGTTGTGATGATATTAATTTTATTTATAAAGCACAAATTACAACAACTCTTAAACTAATATAACTACCCTAAGTGAAGAAAAATATAGAAAGCACAGAGATATTCACTTTTACAAGGATACTCACTTCCGCCCCAGCCCGGGGTTGAACTCTCGACCTACGGAATCTGTCTCCTAGCAGTGCAGGAACAGCACGTTAGACCGCTCGGCTATCTAGGCAAGTTAATGGAAAAACCCCTACATAAACAAATACATGGGCGCAGACATTTTGGACACCCAAAGTTGTGCGGAGGAGAAAATACTACCTGGCGCGTGATTGGTCAATAAGAGAAAAGACTTGTTATGTATTTGACAAGTGAAATAAAGTTGATAAAAATCTAATATCAAGACTTGGGTTTCTTTGAGATATGTAGGAGTTACAGGTAAAAATTTGAAAGGAGGGGTGCCCTTTGGTTAGAGATTTTCATTTGGTGTCAAACGCACCTTGTTGTAAACAAATGGAAATTGAAAGTAAAAGTGCCGCGTGACGGTATATTTTTTCTGGCATGTTTTGTTTTCCAATATCTTGAACTTTCACGACAAAAAGGCCATTTGACGGAAATTCAATATATGTATGAGTGACAGGGGCTCAAGTTTGTATGGAAGTCTATGGGAAAACATTTAGTGGTGTTTGTCCTATAGAATAGGTATGTATTTCTTGGAAAAACATTGATTACAGCCAAAAAATCAATCAGTTCCTATTTTTTGGCATTGAGATCATATTTTAGTTAGTTTTTTCTATTTCTTAAAAAATTTGAGGGTTTTGGGTAAATTGAGGCTCACAATGGGGACTGCACATGGTGAAAAATGCTAAAATTTTTGCCCTAGCTCTCATATTTTCAATAAATGTACATGTAAATAATTTTAAATAAATGTTTATGCTGAAATTTACTGTGAATATTGTAAATAATACAATATTGATGTTTATGGGCATCATCAATACACAAAACATATGAATATCCCCCTCGCAGTTTGAGAAATTCATTTAAATCCATGTATTTTATGAGTGCAGACATTGGAACAGATTGACTAATCCTCTTTCAAATATGTGTAAATTACAGTTGATTGAATAATTTATAACAAAATTAGACTGCTGTTAAGTAATTAGGTTACTTTGTTTTTACTTAAGGGGCCTAATCCAGCAACAAAGCCAATTTCAGTCATGTAATCAGTGCTGGCTTGATAAAAAAAATTATAGTTTGGGGAAAACTTAGAGATTACAAGTATGAAATTTAATTTAAATTACTGTTAAATATATTTTAGCAGAAAATACATTGAAAATCTAAGAAATTTGCAAAAATTATTATTGCAAAAATGATGAAAAAAGTGTCTAAATATCCTTCCTCCTTGCCATACCCGATATCCAATCTTGATATTCTGCAGAAAAAGGGGGGGGGGTAATTTTGTACTCTAATGATGCTGGAAAATGAAGGAATTTTTTTTAAAATGTGGTTTATTTGAACAACAAGAGTCATGTCTATCTGCAGTTATTTTTTTTCAATTTCTTAGATATTTTTTAAAAAAATTATTAGAGTAAATTCTATTTAAACATGATTATTTTAAAGCTATTTCATCACTAATGCTTATAAAAAATTCAAAAGATGGTGTAAATAATAAAAAAAATATAATATAAGCTACTACATGCATTTATCAGTATGTTTTAATAAAATAAAATGTATTTCAGCTATGCATTCTCAAGAAGGAGGAGATTAATGAACCCTCCCCTCTTACATTGAACAAAACATGGACACTCTCAAGATGGTCCCTTTGCTTTCATTAAGAGTTCCAAGGTATGATTTATCTAGAAAATCTGGTAAATCTCTTAATATTTAAGTTATTTAGAACTTTTTATAGATTATTAGAAAATAAATTTCTTCAGAACTGCAGTTATTTAAGCACTTTGCTAACAATTGAGCACTGTATTCAATCAGACAATATGATTTATCTGCCCTTGGCATTTAATCAATTTATTAATTATGTCAATAATTAGAAATGTTATGCAAATGAATATCTTTGCCTTTCATGAGAATATACATATTTAACATCCATAACATGAAATGTTCATGAAAATTGGCTAAAATGTAGGTCATCCCCCTTCAAAATTACAAAATTCTCAGTGGGGATGTATTCGATTCTCTGTTGCCAGCAACCCATTGCTGATAAAATTCTTTTTAATATTATGTCCATTTAAACTACATATAATTCTCTTTCTTTCCATTGATTATTTTATCTACATTAGTTTTCACTCTTTCCATAACTCAGCATTTTCTTACAAAAACCTGCTGATTTTCTTCATTTTTCATTTATAACGGGTACCTGCTACCCTGAATGATTAACATGATCTATCTTGAGAGATTATGAGAGATAATAAGATCAACAAGCAAAACATATGCTAGGTTAATCATTTTATTTGAAAAGTTTGAAAGAAAAATAGAAAATTGCTTCAATTTATAGGCATCTTTTCTGTTTTACAGATGTGTGTCTGATTGACTGGGGTGTGAAATGTAACAGCCAATGGTGTACTTAAGCTAGGACTGTCAGTCCCAATATTCAAGAGGTGAGATAAGCAATGGATATGTGTTCTAAATATACTAAATTGACCACTTTTTATAAATGTTTCTTTTACTCTATAGGAAAAACCCCTACATAAACAAATACATGGGCGCAGACATTTTGGACACCCAAAGTTGTGCGGAGGAGAAAATACTACCTGGCGCGTGATTGGTCAATAAGAGAAAAGACTTGTTATGTATTTGACAAGTGAAATAAAGCTGATAAAAATCTAATATCAAGACTTGGGTTTCTTTGAGATATGTAGGAGTTACAGGTAAAAATTTGAAAGGAGGGGTGCCCTTTGGTTAGAGATTTTCATTTGGTGTCAAACGCACCTTGTTGTAAACAAATGGAAATTGAAAGTAAAAGTGCCGCGTGACGGTATATTTTTTCTGGCATGTTTTGTTTTCCAATATCTTGAACTTTCACGACAAAAAGGCCATTTGACGGAAATTCAATATATGTATGAGTGACAGGGGCTCAAGTTTGTATGGAAGTCTATGGGAAAACATTTAGTGGTGTTTGTCCTATAATAAAACTTGCTTTCGATGCCGATGGAATTCTCACAACGCTGCCCTACACTACACAGTCATTGAGAATGGAAGTGAGATACAGTTATTTGGACATTAGTTTTTAGAGGATCGTTACCAATACATGTTGTGATGATATTAATTTTATTTATAAAGCACAAATTACAACAACTCTTAAACTAATATAACTGCCCTAAGTGAAGAAATATTAATATAGAAAGCACAGAGATATTCACTTTTACAAGGATACTCACTTCCGCCCCAGCCCGGGGTTGAACTCTCGACCTACGGAATCTGTCTCCTAGCAGTGCAGGAACAGCGCGTTAGACCGCTCGGCTATCTAGGCAAGTTAATAAAACTTGCTTTCGATGCCGATGGAATTCTCACAACGCTGCCCTACACTACACAGTCATTGAGAATGGAAGTGAGATACAGTTATTTGGACATTAGTTTTTAGAGGATCGTTACCAATACATGTTGTGATGATATTAATTTTATTTATAAAGCACAAATTACAACAACTCTTAAACTAATATAACTGCCCTAAGTGAAGAAATATTAATATAGAAAGCACAGAGATATTCACTTTTACACTTTTAGTGTGAAATGCTCTAGTCATGTACGTAGTAAATTTAAGTCATAATATTATACTGAAAACATCAGAAAACCTGTACCCAAGACCCTTTAATGTAGAGCGTGAACAACCCTTTGCCTAATATGCATTAACTGACCAATATGATGATTCTAGGTCTAATAGTTTTCCAATTATAAGTCTGTCAAGGTTTTTCATATATGGTTATATCATCTTAAACAAACGCTGACCTAGTTTAGTGCACAAAAACATTCTATACAAGATGTATCAAATGGCAAAGTTTGATTATTCTAGACCTAAAAATTTTTAACCAACATTTTAAAAGCAGCCTTTTTAATCTATTCAATGAAATCATTTGGGGATGGGGGATAAACTAGCTGCATGGTAAGAGGTATTCAGGTTTACAGTATAACAGCTAACCAGTATGGTTTCACCCTAACAAAAATGTTCCCATCCTATTTCTTAACTATAGCTGATTCACCTAGGAATTTCCCCATAAATATGATCTGTTGAAATTGGTCCCCAAAAAAACTTGAAATGAAGTCAAAATTATGAAAATTAAGACGATTGACTACAGACCACAGACTAACTGAAATCTAAGTTTCACCTTTGACTCAGGTAAGCCCACAAAGGAAATGGTTACATAGACTGTTACAAACCCTACTTCATCTATTTAGAAAAATCTTACTTTGCTATCAGTTCTAGTTAAATACAGGTAGATTTAACTATATAAATAACTTTATTCGGTAATAACCAATATTTGCCCCCACAAATCACACTTTGATGGAGATATATTTAATTAAGTTCTTAAACAGCACTAAACTTCAAAGTACAAACTTCAAAGCACTAAATATTTTCATAAGTTATGACGCCATATGTACGTAATGACCTCACAAACATGACGTAATTTCAGTTTTTTTTTTAATTTTACAGAAAAATGTAAATATTTCGTCGATATTTTGAGTAAAAGTCACCGAGCACATGTGTGTTCAGGTTCAATATTTTGATATAATGTGTAGAATGATAATATCAATGAAATATTTCAATATTGTTCCTCAACAAACTTGCGCTCTATAAATTTTAAAGCTAAAATTGTTGAAATTTTGTCCATTTTGTCCTCTTTCTGAAAAATGATCTAAAATCGGACTAGTTTGTGACGTCATAATTTTGAATACACTGCTTTTACACAATAATATTTTCTGTTAATTTATATTTCTCATACAATATACGGAATTCAGCACATTTCAGGAAGTTTTCAAAATTTGACTTTTGTTGGGGCAAATATTTGCAATATACCGCATATAGTTCTTTTATAAACACTTTGACTGACATTACTTTGAATGCAAATTTCATTCCAATTTGTGATATGTAAAATGCTCACACTCATACAAACTTAATTAATTGTATGAAATGGAATGATACACGTATATTTGAAGAAAAGACGTGTATGAAAGGATATCATATGAAACATACATGCTGAAAACCAAATAAAAATACTGTACGTGTACATAAATCGATGCATTCAAAATTTGGCACAATCACTGGGTATTAAGATTTGGCGTAATCATGAATTAGCGCTACACACGTCTATTGCATTTATAAATAATTTTAATGGTATTAACTTTTTGGTGAAACTTAGAGATTACTAGTAGGAAATTTGATTTAAATTACTGCACAATACATTTTTGCAGAAAAATACATTGAAGATGCAATAAATATGCAAAATTATACCTGAACAAATTATGAAAAAGTATATGAATATCCCTCCTCCTTGCCATATTCAATCTTGATATTCTGCTGAAAGGGGGGGGGGGGTTAATTTTGTGCTCTAATGATGCTGAAAAATGAAGGAATTTTGATTAAATTTGGTTTATTTAAAAACAATAGTCATCTTTATCTGCAGTTATTTATTGGCATCCTTAATACAAAAAAGGCATGAATATGCCCCTCGCAGTTTGAGAAATTCATTTAAATCCATGTATTTTATGAGTGTAGACATGGGAACAGATTGAGTAATCCTTTTTCAAATTTGTGTAAATCAGAGTTGATTGAATAATTTATAACAAAATTAGACTGCTGTTAAGTAATTAGGTTACTTTGTTTCTATATAAGGGGCATAATCCAGCAGCAAAGCCAGTTTCAGTCATGTAATCAGTGTTGGCTTTAAAAAAAGTTATTCCAATTTGTGTTATGTAAAATGCTCACATTCATACAACCTTAATTAATTGTATGAAATGGAATGATACATGTATATTTGAAGAAAAGACGTGTATGAAATGGTATCATATGAAATATACATGCTGAAAACTACATAAAAATACTGTACGTGTACATAAATCGATGCATTCAAAATTTGGCACAATCACTGGGTATTAAGATTTGGCGTAATCATGAATTAGCGCTACACACGTTTATTGTATTTATAAATTATTTTAATGGTATTCACGAATTAGCACATTGTTGTCGGCGCCAAAGCTGCTAAAATATCATGCCCTCTTTTTAAGTACGCAAACAGTATATTATATGTACTACAGTTCAATAAAACCGAACATTTGTTGAAAAAATACACTGTACAACAATTTTAAATTCAGTATAAGCTTTTGTTAGAATCTTAAAATTTTCCTTCCCAACACTTAATAGTTAGATTGACTTGCCAAGATAGGAGCTTTAGAAAACAAATAATATTATATAGCATTGTATCGTTCCTTTAATGGAGCAGTGTCTATGATCTTGTTTCAAATATAAAGAGTTCATTACACCTTCTTACCTATAATCTCTTCTTTAGTCTGGAATCCTGATTTCTAATCATCCAGATGCTTAGCCCAGAGGTGCTTGTGGACCGGAACACCCCCTCCCTCTTCTTCTCTTTTTAACCCTTTGGATTGTTCGACATATTTTTTTCGCATATTCTTTTATTACACTTATTTATGATAAATGCCTTAGGCTAAATTAGGAAAACCCCAAAATAATCTATACATTAGTGGGGTATTTCTAGTTTGGAATTATTCATTTAGAGATTTCACATTTCTTTTCCTATGGAGGACATGACAATTAAGTCTAATAAATGTTATTTGTGAAAAAATGTCCCTGGGTTGTTTATCAGGAGGGAGCTCCTGTCCACAAGTACTTGTGCATTAGACTTGTATTCTTATTTTTACAGAGACAATCTTTTTTCCAGACTTATGTACATGTAGTATGTTTTGAGTTTGAGCATAGTTATTACTTGATGCAGACAGAATCTTAATTACGAAACCAATTCTCTTTAATTTTTTTAGGAGGCTAGGGGTCAACTAATTATTCTTTTATCAACCACCAGCTATAACTTAATTTCGGGATATGATATCTAAAGCTGTCAACTATCCTTTGTCAAAGAAAAATTTCAAAAATTATAGCTTGAAATTTGATCATTGTATTATATCTTTATATGGAGTTCTTCTTCTAATGGAGATCAATATAGTCTAAAAATGTCCACGACCACCCAGCCTCTTTAATCATCAATAATAATTGACTGTTAATAATAAGTTTACATTTTAGTAATACGAGAATTGAAGTTAGAGGAAATTTTCAAACTAGTGTCTTAATTCTTCAGAACATATATCATACAAATGAAATAAAAGCAAATATCCTTGTAATTTAGAAGAAATGGAAAAACAAATAATCTATATCAGAACATTGTACAATAAAAAATTCAATGAAATATCTGCTTAAAATTGTCTTTTAAATTGAAAACCTAATTTGTTATTTAATACAGGTAATAAAATATCATTACAGGTTACACACTCCATAATGAATTCAAACTTAAAGCATTTTCATTCTCTGTAATTTTTAAATAAAGAATTCAAAGAATTTTACAGATTTAAAAAAATTAAGTCAAATACCCTATCACTTCAAGTGTGCTTCATTTCACCGAAGTGATCGGGAGGCCCGGGTTCGATTCTCGATCGCGGCGCCGCGTCATACCTAAGACGTAAACATAGGTAGTGACTGTTCCTTCGCCAAGCGCTCGGCACTAGAAGTGAAAGTCACGGGTCTTTCGGATATGACCTTAAAAACGTAGGTCCCGTGTCACGGTAGGCGTTGGC